CACGGTGCATGGCTGACTGGGGGATTCTGGGAGTTGAAGTCCACCCATTGCCAAATGGCCACGGTGCATGGCTGACTGGGGGATTCTGGGAGTTGAAGTCCACCCACTGCCAAATGGCCACGGTGCATAGCTGGCTGGGGGATTCTGGGAGTTGAAGTCCACCCATTGTCAAATGGTCACGGTGCATGGCTGACTGGGGGATTCTGGGAGTTGAAGTCCACCCACTGCCAAATGGCCACGGTGCATGGCTGACTGGGGGATTCTGGGAGTTGAAGTCCACCCACTGCCAAATGGCCACGGTGCATAGCTGGCTGGGGGATTCTGGGAGTTGAAGTCCACCCATTGTCAAATGGTCACAGTGCATGGCTGATTGGGGGATTCTGGGAGTTGAAGTCCACCCATTGTCAAATGGTCACAGTGCATGGCTGATTGGGGGATTCTGGGAGTTGAAATCCACCCATTGTCAAATGGCCACGGTGCACGGCTGACTGGGGGATTCTGGGAGTTGAAGTCCACCCATCTTCAAGTGTCTCACAAGTAAATAGTTTTTACTTTTTTAATATAAAATTTATATGTTGCCCATCTCGTATCCAACGACTCTTGTCTAGTATGCCTTACGTGGCCATGCAGGCTGGGGAAGGTGGGAGCTGTAATCCAACCTGGTCAGAAAGCCACAGGTTCGGAGAGCTGCAAAAAAAAAAGAACCGTGCACTGCCCAACCGCCGCCACCAGAGGGCAGCAAAGAGACCCAGAGCAGCCTTAATCACTCTTTGACGCCATCTAGAGGGCGTCTGGATTCGACACGGCCTGATTTAATAGTTCTGACATTCATGGGGGCCAGGAACTTCACAAGCTTCTTCCCTGGGGAAAATGGGAGAATTGCCCAAGGAAATCTCGGAGTTAAATCTATCCAAGTGAAGGATGAAAGTTTGCAAGGGAGAGTGAGATAATAGAGGTAATCCTCCACTTACGACCACAATTGAGCCCACCCTTTCTGTCGCCCAGAGAGACCTACGTTGTTACATACGTTTTGCCCCATTCTACAAAGTTTCTTGCCGCAGTCGTTAAGTGAACTGCTGCGGTTGTTAAGTGAGTCTGGCTTCCCCATGGAGTTTTCTCGTCTAAAGGTTGCAAAAAGGGGGGGGTATCACATGACCCCCGCAGACATTATGACCGTCATAAATATGAGCCTGTTGCCCAGCATCCAAATTTGGATCCCGGGGAACGCGACAACGGTCGTAAAAGTGAAAAATGGTCGTAAGTCGCTGTTGTAGCTTCGGTTACTAAGTGAACTGTTGTAAGTCGAGGCCTGTGTCTGCAATGGCATGAAAAGTTAGGGGGTGGGAGGATTAGAGGTTTCAGCACATGGATTCCCCCCCCACCCGCCATAATATATAGTTAGTCCTTGACATACGACCATGTGCTTGGCGAATGTTCAAAGTTACGCCAGACCTCCCGGGGGGGAGGGGTGTACTTGCAAAATGGATTCAAACTTCCGACAGCCGCGCACCCCCCACAAACATACCTACAGGTAGTCCTCGACTTACAACAGGTCACCAAGTGTCCGTCTGAAGTTACAAAAGGTCGGAGAAAAGTGACTTATGACCATTTTTCATACTTATGACCATTGCAGAACCCCCTCATGGTCATGGGATTAAAATTCAGACGCTTGGTGATTGACTCATGATGGTCACAAAATCAATGGGGAAGCCGGCTCACTTAACAATCGTCGGTGCTAATTTAACAACCCCGGCGATTCCCTCAACAAACGGGGCGAGAAAGGTCGCAAAACGGGAGAAAGCTCGCTGAAGGCATGTCTCACTTAGCAGCATGCATGTTGGGCTCGATTGTGGTCGTAAGTCGAGGACTTTCGGACCCTTCGCCAACATGAAGAGCCGTTTTCAGCATCCTGTGGCCACATGACTGTGTTTGATGCCGGTTTCACCAAGAATGGATTTTTTCCCCCCAGCTTTTCTTGGCAAAACCAGTCCATGGAGAGCTTAATGGTTCGCTTACCGACGGTGGTATTCGCTTCACCGTCGGTAAGCAGGGGGAAAGATTATAAAAGCAGGTCAGTAGAATGAGAGAGTAGAATAGAATAGAATAAGAAAGAATAGAATANTCCAGCATTACTTTGACTTGACACTCTAGATATAATTCATTCTTTTTCCTGTCTAATACAGGATTGGCATAAATAAACAGCCGGCCAACTCCGGGTTATTAGCTAGTTGACATATAAAATTACTGCCGGACTTTGCAACGATTGTCACATTTTCCGGCGCCATTGTAACTTTAAATGGTTGCTAAAGGAATGGTTGTTAATTCGAGGAGAAGGTAAATCGAGGGCAACTTTAGGGGGCCATTCTGAGATTTCCTGGTGGCCTCCCATCCCGCAGGAGGAGCCTACTCTGAGCTCTTTGGCTTCTCAAAATCGGCTGAGGCTGGTGAGATGCTGCCCCCTAGAGGGCAGCAAAGTAAGGGTAACCTTTCTAGTTGAGTTTGACACGCAGAAGGATCAATGCAGGTGTATCAATGCACTTCAGTTACTAACATTGGAGGTATCCATGGCTGAGTTCACACAACACTTTTTAAGTATAATAATAATTATTAATTATTCTTTCTTTCTTTTTGTTTAAGGAGGAACCTGACCGGGTCCCCCCAATCGACGTCCTCTGGATCAAAGGCAGAGAAGGAGGGGATTACTTCTACTCCTTCGGGGGTTGCCACCGATACGCGGCCTACAAGCGCTTGAACAAGGAGTCCATTCCGGCTAAGATCATCCGGTCAAACCTCAGTGACCTGCGGACTTACCTAGGCTCTTCTCTCCCAGACTTGCGATAGGTGGGGGGGCTTACTCCTGCCCCTCCCCCATCCCCCCACCCCAGTTCTAGAGCATCCTTGGACCTTCTGAACCTTGGAGATGATGTGGAGACAAGGATTTTGTCTCCCTTTGCCAGACCTTCAACAATGAGGACTAGCAGCCTGATTTTGTCCTTATCTCTGTTGGGTATAGAGGGAGCAAGGCCCAACGTGCTGTTTCTCAACCTTGGTCATTTGAAGATGGATATAGACTTCAATTCCCAGAATCCCCCAGCCAGCCATGCACTGTGACCATCTGACAACGGGGTGGACTTCAACTCCCAGAATTCCCCAGCCAGCCATGGCAAAGAGTTACAGCAGACAGAAGCAGAACATCCTTACCTCTCTGTCGCCACCTGGAGGGCATCTGGATTTTATAATGGATGGCTGGGGAATTCTGGGAGTTGAAGTCCACCCATTGTCAAATGGTCACAGTGCATNTGAGCTTCAATGGACTCCAGAGGATGGGAGAGGACAGGAAGGCCTGGTGGAACGTTATCCATGGGGTTGCGATGGGTCGGATAGGACTTCACAGCTAACAACTACCAATTCAAATTGGCTGATTCAGCACAGGTGTCCAGGGGACTCTGAATTTCCTTCGGCTGGAGAATTCGGCCTATTGGTTTGTATACAAGCAGGAACCTTATTTTATTTTATTTTTGGACTGAGCAGGGATTCAGGAGGTGCCTGAAAGGCGAATAAAAGGGTTGACAGCTAGTTGCTGCTAAAGGAGAATGCAAATCCGGGCTTGGGCCTCGCTCCCCATCCAAAAACCCACTGAAACCTTTTGCAGACTTTTTAAAAATAATCATTGGGCGATTAAAACCTCCCTGAAACGTGGCTGTTTCCCCCCCAAAATGGCTCTGCATTGCAGCTGTGGTTAGAAAAATGGGGAATTAACAAGCAGCAGCAGATTCTGCCCTGGGCATCATTTCGAGATTTGGAAATACATCTTTTGGGTGCAGTACAGGTAGTCCTTGAGTTACGACCACATAGAGGGCCAAGATTCCCACTGTTAAGCAAGACGGTGGTTACGTTTGTCCTGCCTCATTGTTCTTGCCCCAGTTATCCAGGGAATCGCTGAGGTTGTGAGTCACACAGTTGTTAAGTGCATCTGGCTTCGACATTGACGTCGTTGGTCAGAAGGTTGCAAAAGGGGATCGCCAGGACACCGAAAGCGTCATAAAAAGGAGTCAGTTGCCAAGCATCTGGATTTTGATCACACCACCGTGGGGATGCAGCAAAAATGGTCTTGTCACTTTATCAGTGCCATTGTAACTTCGAAGGGGAAGGAAGGAAGGAAGGAAGGAAGGATAGGAAGGATAGGAAGAAGGGAGGGGGAGGGAGGGAGGAAGGAGAGGTGGAAACAAGGAAGTGGGAGGGAGGGAGGGAGGAGAGATGGGAAGAAGGGAGGAAGGAAGGAAGCAGAGGTGGGAAGGAAGGAGGAAAGAAGGAAGGAAGGAAGGAGAGGTGGGAACAAGGGATGGGGAAGAAGGAAGGAAGGGAGATGGGAAGAAGGGAGGAAGGAAGGAAGCAGAGGTGGGAAGAAGGGAGGGAGGAAGAAGGAAGGAAGGAAGGAGAGGTGGAAACAAGGGATGGGGAGGGAGGAAGGAAGGAAGGGAGATGGGAAAAAGGGAGGAAGCAGAGGTGGGAAGAAGGGAGAGAAAAAGTGAAGGAGGAAGGAAGGGTCTCCTGTCTTGCCTAAGGCGGGACTAGAACTCACCATCTCCTGGTGATTGGACCTAAGTGCCCCAGTCGGCTTTTACGCGGGACTAGAACTCACCGTCTCCTGGTGATTGGACCAAAGTCAGCCAGCTGCTTTCGTGCCTAAGGCGGGACTAGAACTCGTCTCCTGGTGATTGGACCAAAGTGCCCCAGCTGGCTTTCTTGCCTAAGGTGGGACTAGAACTCACTGTCTCCTGGTGATTGGACCAAAGTGCCCCAGTCGGCTTTTATGCGGGACTAGAACTCACCGTCTCCTGGTGATTGGATCAAAGTCACCCAGCTGGCTTTCGTGCCTAAGGCGGGACTAGAACTCACTGTCTCCTGGTGATTGGACCAAAGTCACCCATCAGTTTCATGCCTACAGCGGGACTAGAACTCACCGTCTCCTGGTGATTGGACCAAAGTCACCCAGCTGGCTTTCGTGCCTAAGGCAGGACTAGAACTCACCGTCTCCTGGTGATTGGACCAAAGTCAC